GTGAAGTAGATTTTAACAACATCGGTGCTGCCAATATTGGGAAAAGTTATTCCACTTTAGTAGTTCAACCTATGTGTATGAGGTCGCCGTTTTGAAATCGGGTGGTTTTCCCTAACATTTCACTAAAAAGCTAAGGCTTGGGTACTATTTTTCCAAAATAATTTACTTAACCAGTGTTATTCGTGTCCATGAAGTCATTATTCAGTGAGATACACCTACCTAAACCGATGTCCAAGTTAATGTTTAATCCATTAACCGTAGCATCAAAGTTTCCATGATCGCTTATGTGAATACTGGAATGGAGAGTGCATTTAATTACATACATCACTGACATGATCCAGACATACACACTACTCAGAGAATGAACTATCCTGTTTGTAACGTTTGTTTCTAGTTGACAAAAAGAAATTACTGATTTTGTAATTGAAAGCGCGATTCCTTTCATTCATAAAATGCTATCCAATATCCGGGAAACTATATATTAACGAACATGAAGAAGAGGCATGTGTGTACATTTCAGACAAATCGGTTACGGCAATCCTGACTTTTATTATTTTGAATTTTCTTAATTAGAGGAGGTCAAAAAGGTCAGACAATGCTAATTTGCATAACTAATTTACTGTGTTTGTGCCATCCATTAAATATTGTGTGTTCAGATGGAAATTAAAAAAAAAGCGGATTCGTGTTCTGTGAAATATTAAATGTCACAGACTGGTGTGGGGTTTTCCATGGAGTATAAGTACACTTGTTGAATGCCTTCATTACTTACGCAAATTTGTGGGAAAAAAATATTTTGGGGGTGATTTTGATCATTTTTATGTGTTTTATATGAGATAGGATATAAAAACTTCTGCACAATAATCCACTGTATGTAGATTCGGAAAGGTCCAAAAAATATTTTTTTATCAAAAACGTTATTATACAAACATCTCAAATTTACGAAAAAATTAATGAATTGCAAAGGTGACATTAATTTTGTTAATAATGGATGTTATATATATTAGGATGCAGTATACTTTAGAGTAATGTAAAAATCAAGTCCAAGCGAAAAGTACAACAACAACGACCTCCTTTTTAAGACACGAAATGATTTATCATAGTATGTTTTGTCTAGAAAATGTCGTTTACCCGATCAAATTCGAGCCATTATTCGAAAACCCGCTAAATCTGTGCCACGTCTAGTCTCCTCCGCCACCGGCCCGGAGAACTGAAAGTCACGTGACAAATAAGTACGGGTTTCAAGTTTGGGTGATATGTTGCCCGATTACGTCAGTAACCAAGCAGGCTCGTTCAAAGTTCGTACATGACGCGCGCCACCAACGGCTCATGTTTGCACAAATTTGTACGTTTGCACATTTGCCAGAGTTCACAGTATTATAAGTCGAACGTTTACCTACAAAGACATTGTGTTAATTGTGCCGCGTGATATAATACGCAGTTTCCGATGTGCTGCACAATCCAGTCGTACATTTAATACTTACAACCCCTTCTTGTACTTGTACCTCCAATCACCGTGTAATGAAATAGCGCCACCACTGGCTTTGAATGATAGACCAACGCCTTGTTGCGTCGTCAGAGAAGTTACCGGAACATTAAAGCTTCTGATAGACATGCTGATGACGTAAGAAAACCGAAACAGGTAGCGTTATCTTAGTAATGATCCTAGTAAATAAAGCATGCACAGAGACTAGTACTAGTATATTCCATTGTTTATGCAAAACGGTTTAATTTAAAGGGCGGTAGTCGTCGCGCCACGCATGCGCGAGATATATGGGTCTCATATAAACAAAGATGGCGACTTTGACTGTTGCGCAGATCGACGGGTACAAACTGAGACGTTTCCAAGCTTTAGTTAGGTATTTTTTAGGTGATTAGAAGGTATCGAAGTAGTCACCCGCGGTAATCAGTGCAAGTCGCGCCCAGGTCAAACCTCATACTTGTGATTTTCATTTGAAGGGCGTATTGGATTGTGGGAAAATCAATGTTTATCAACACAAATGTCGCATATGCGCAGCGCAACGACCACCGCGCTTTAAATCCCGATTTGAAAAATAGAAAATACCTTTCCTATAAGCCGCTTCCTCTGTCGACGAAGCGCTTCCAAGATGACGTCAGAATGTCGTAGATGGTGAAAGCAATCATGATGTCGTTTCAAACAACTTTGTTTGGTTTCAAACATAAATCAGTGTTTTATCCCAGACGCCCAATGACCCAACTTGATTAATGGTCAACTGAGATCTTACCGCCGTGTCTACATCTGGCATGCTTCTCGTTCCAGCTAGATTAGGTGATGGAACACATCGCACCCACTTGCGCTGTGCTTAGCAACAATATCTGCATACAGTTACTGTATGTGCTGAACAAAAAACTGAAATGAAGCCATCGTACGTGCTGGGCATTAAGGCGACGCTTCCCCAGAGCGCTTAGAGTGATATACTGCATATTCAATAATCAAGTATGTACGTACCTGGACACGGTGTAGTCTACTTTGCCAATAGAGATATCAGCTGTGCCGCTGATGTCGGGAATAGTTTCCCCTGGGACATCTTTAGCCAACATTCCTACACCCACATCATTTACTGTAAAACAACACGTGGCGTCGGTTTATTGTGTGGTACGAACTTAATTGAGTGCACGTAGTCGACTACTAGCACATTTTTCTGATTACCGCACGTTTTTTTTTGTAATTGTTCAAAAGCACACCCAGTGCATATGCTAAACCCTGAGCCGCCAACAAATTTGTAGATTTTAAAAACAAACAAATTACAAAAGTGCGTAAGAAATAGTGTTTAGTTTAAATTTCGGGGTATATCTAGCTCGCGACTAACTAGGAAAAAGAAAATACTCAAAACAAAAAAGATCAAAGCTTTTAAAAAATGCTCAAAATCTTGTTCAGAACAGAAAATGCTCGACACAAAAAAAGATCGAAGATAAAAAAAATGCTCAAAGAAAAAAAGTTCAGCACAATGATATAATCAAAAAACGTAAAAAAAATAAACAATTATACAATGAGCGAAAAATGATGAAATTGGAGAAAATACAACCCGTACACAATAAATTATACTGATTTATAACTATATTTCCATTTACAAAATTTACATATATTTAATGAAAGGAATTAAACAATAACATTATCAGGGGAAAAGAATCATGATGAACGTGAAAAATTGCACATTTTTTCTAACCATCTCCTCCCCACAAAATTTCTAATGCTCAAAGTTGGACAGTCTAACATTAAAATTATATGCATTCTGTCGGTCCCTTTAGAACCACCGCTTTTAGTTTCACGTCCACTGACTTACGATGACATACAGTTGGAATAAGATACAACAGAGTGAAATATGGAAATATTTTTCAAATATTTTTTTTTGGATGCTAGACGACTATTACGAAAATAAAAATCGATGCTGTTTCTCTCCTGGTGATTTTTGTCCCGGTCTTATGTCAGAACATGGACGTACGAACGTCCATGGTCATAATAAGGGGTGTATTTCCGTCTCCCGAAACCAATATAGTTTTATTTTGCTGAGCGAACAGTCGAATCTGGAAATCGATCCCAGAACCCCCCTGATCATACGAGGCGAACAAGCTAACCACGTAACCGTACCATTTCCCTACGAGTTTCACACGTAACGAGGAAGCAAACAATGACGTCATTGTGACAGGGTCATCTTCACAAAGTCATCCATTATCGGATATCAGCATGCCATGGTACAATGGTGTGACGTTATTTCCTGACGTAATCAAATAACTTTCGATTTCATTTTCGAAGGAACAAACCTACAGAAAGTCTGATTATTCAGTCACCAATTTATACCAAGGTGTATGTTTGTTTTTAAGTATAAAAGTTCTTTGTTTAAAGGCACTGAAAAAAACACACACACTGAATATGCTTGATATTTTAAAAACGACAAATAGAGGAAGTCAAATTAAGCGTCGCGTGGGGGTAAATAAGTAAGGGTTGAACCATTAGAAACTATGGGTGGGGTGATGGCAGAGACATTGTGCAATTTGTGTTCTTCACTTAGTTTCGGACTTAAAAGGAATTTGCTGTGATTGTTGTTTCCATTATGCGTAAGATTTAAACGCGCGAAATGTTTTTTTAAATGATTTTTTCCTATGCAAATTATGTTTTTAATTCTACCAACACCCCTCCCGAATGCTACTAATTGCCAAACCCTAATTATAAAGAAACAGTTACGCAATGAGTGGCCCATTATACTTACTGAACTTCAAACCATTCTTGGTTATTCTAGCCTTGAAGCCCGGATTTGCAGCCTGAGTTGGCCACCGTGCACACGTCTGTGTTATGCAACCAATGAATACGACGACCACCACACAGAGTCGTACTAGAGCGCTGACCATTGTGTTCAGATGAGCGGAAGGCTGCAAGAGAATGTGAGTGTGGACCCGAGTTGTGGCAATACTACTTGTACGGCCGATCTTCAAATGAATGAGCTTGATTTACGTACACGAGGAAGTATATACGCTGTTTATTTGTCAGTTTGCTTTGTTCGAGTATTTATAAAGGCACTATTAGCATATGACCTCGTCACGTGATTCAAATTTCACGTTGGGATTTTCCGATATCATTTCCTTATACATACAGGTATCAGACTACAATTTGATAACACGATAATGGGTCGGTTATCTCTGGAACATGAGCTGTGTTCACGTGACCAATAACGATATGAATCCATGTATGAAGGGACATGCGTAAACCTTACGTTCGTTCTGAATACTTGAATTGATTTTAATTGTGGTCGTACACTAAGGAATCGAGTCATGCCTGGACACTTGCAATGTATAATTCCCGTTCACCGAAAGGCATTAGATAGATTCTAATATTTAAAAGTAACTAAATTACAGAAATAGATATAGTTAAAATAGTTTTTAGCCCACTGAAAAGTTTGACATAGCAAAAGAACAATTTACACAAAAGCATTCTTTTATATTAAACTAAATAATCAATACATAAACTTATATTAGTTTAACAACATGGTTCAACATTTTTGGTCCATGTTATTAAACCTATCTTAATATGAATGTGAAATTGGGAGAATAGAAAAATACACAGACACATCAATCACAGGAAATTTAAAGTTCTCCGAAATGTTATATCAGGTGAATCAATCAGCAACAATTATAGCAGTAAGAGGGAATTGGAAAGACAGCCACTTTCAGTTTTCATTAATAAAATGATTACATATACTGGTATAAGTTTTGAACAAAACAAAAAGAGCACAGCCTAGTTCACAATTCAGTAATATGCAACATAGACACACACTGCACTGTCACTGGACAAAGACAATACGGGATCGAATTATTAGTGGATAAAATCAAATCATAAGCTACTGGAAATATAACAACAGAATATAAAAAACAAGACACAGTGGATTATGTGAAACAGTGGGAAAGGGAAATCGAGGCAACTACAACTGTGTTATGACAACATTAAATTGCGAACGTATAACAAAAATAATTTAAAATGGAGGACCACATAATTAATGTGAAGGACAACAACTGTTAGCAAATGCATTTGGCAACTAAGAATAAATGACCACAATCTAATGATAGTAAAGGGTAGACATTGTCGGTCGAAAATGGATTTAGATGATAAAATATGTGTGATGCAAGTATGTACCACTACGTAATGAACGTAATTTCAAAATCGAATCGATCGATTTTTGCAGCAGACGTTCGGTCTGCGCCTTTCATGCATCACGCGAAATCTCACACCGAACGGAAAATCATTGCTGCGTGTGTCAACAAATAAATCATTATGGTAGTTTTGATCGCTCAGTTCTTTCTCTATGTTGTGAAACTATGCGCTCATGTCTACTTCTCTATTTTCTAGAGTATCGCAATTTAAAGTTTCCTGAGTACGATTTTAGTGTCTAATTCCATCATTAATAAGACCATACCTGATGACTGGTATTTCAGCAAA